ACTAGGGGCATGTCAGTCCCATCAATGGCCCTGGTGCAGTTTGGAAACCCCATTCTCTCCAAACTAGCAATTATTGAAGAGACGTCAGAAGCAGGAAGCCTATCAAATCATCAGTGGGACAATGGTACATCCACACCCTGAATACTGTGTGCAGTTCTGGTTGCCCCATCTAAAAAAAAGATATATTAGAAATGGAAAAGGTAAAGAGAAGGGCAATAAAAATTAAGTGTATGGAACAGTTACCATATGAGAGATTAAAAAGATGATTAAGGGGATGATAGAGGACTATAAAATCACGAATGGTGTGGACAAAGTGAATAAAGAAGTGCAATTTAGCCCTTGACATAACATAAGAACCAGGGAGGTCACCAAATGACATTAATAGGCAGCAGGTCTAACACAAACAAAAGGAAGTACAGTAAAACCCTGTTTATCGGATCCTCCATTATCTGGCTCTCTGTATTAACCAAACAATCAGTGCACACAGCTCAAGAAGCAGGTGATCTCTCCTGTGGCCACTAGATGGGTCTGCAGCCTCACACTTTCCCATTCTCCAGATTATTCAAATGTTTGATTATCCAATATGGCCCCAGTCCCAATTAGATCAGATGAACAGGGTTCTGCTGTACTTACTCACCTAACACACAGCCAACCTGTGGAACTTGTTGCCAGGGGATGTTGTGAAAGCCAAAACTATAATGGGATTCAAAAAAGAATGAGATAAGTTGATAGGTCCATCTGTGACTATTAGCCAAGATAGTCAGGGATGCAAGCCCATGCTTTGGGTGTCCCTAACCCTCTGACAGCCAGATGCTGGGACTGGATGACAGGGGTTGGGTCACTTGATCATTGCCCTTTTCTGTTCATTCCCTCTGGGGCACTTGGCATTGGCCACTGTTGGAAGACAAAAAGAAAAGGAGGACTTGTGCCACCTTAGAGACTAAGACAGGATACTGGGCTAGATGGACCCTTGCTCTGACCCAGTATGGCCAGTCTTATGTTCCAAAGTTATGTTCTTGACATTGTTTATGCTCACTACCTTTGGGTAAATCCCATGCCTGATTGCCTCAGAAACCTCTGTCCCCACAGTTAACTTGCCAAGACCAAACTGGTTAGCAGTGGACCTGCAGCAGTCAGGAGTACACAGCTTCCAGATGGTTACAGCAACCCGCTTCTGGACCAACTTCCCCACCCACTTGTATGTGTCCTGACACTGCAGAGTCAGGGCAAGCTGCTCATAAAGCTCCAGAAACATCACTTTCTGCATATGAAAGTTCTGGAGCCACTGCTGGTCCTCCCAGGTCTGCACGACAACGTGATCCCACCCGTCTGTGCCTGTGGCCCTTCTCCACAGGTGCTGGACTACACAGGGGGCATCAGCGGCTATACCAAGAGTCATGAGCAGCATCAGCCAGTTGACATGTATCCTCCTCCTGCGACAGGAGCCTTCACCAGCTCAGAATCTGCCACCAGCATCTCCCGGATGTTCTGCCCACCGCATAAAACAGGAGTGAAAATACAAGCAGGGCAAATACTTCAAATGGGGCCTCACCCAGGTTGCTGGCTCCAGTGACCGGCAGCTTGCAGACCCAAAACACAGCTTGGCTGGCTGTACTGACGGGGGAGACAACTTCTGATAAAGTGCTGTGGGAGGGACACTCAAGTGTTTCCGTGGGGCACAAGGAACAAAGGGCTGAAGAGGCTACAGCTGGGAGAGCGCTAGGAAGCCTGGGAGAGGCTGATGTGACCAGGTCTGCGCCTTGCACGGTGGGCACGTGAGCGCTGGTGTGAGACTCGGGTCTTGACATTCTCAACCCAGGGTCACCGTTCATTGTGGACTCTCCTGCACAGGCTTAGACACACTGAGCCTGCAACGCGAGTCCCGCACACCCCGGCTCACATTGCAGTGACTGTTACAGTCTGACGGGGAGACGGTTACACAACTTGTCTCCCTCAGGAACCTTCCTCTTCACAGAAAGTTTATTTTAAAGCGGAGCAACATGAATTCCATTTGAAATAGAAATAATTAGAGTCTATCTTGGGTGTCTATTCTCATATACACTACTACTACCCTTTGGAGTGAGGTTTTACTTCACCACTGCTCAATCCAAAGGGGCTGAATTACATCAAATAACTTTTCAGAATTAGCCACCATTTTCTAAAATACTGATAAAACAAAACAAAAAAAAAAACAATATAATTTGCAGTATTACAATATAATCAGGTTATCACATAATCAGACTCTTATTCTGTAATGATTAAATTCATGTTTAATTCCGTTATCACTGGTAACAACAACATATTCAAAGATTACAAAATTTTATCATATGGGTTCGTTTTCTCTCAATCCCCATTTCCACCAATGAGCCCTGTGTAATGCCCTGTTCTCTACTAACACCGGTGCCTTCCATTTTCTTAGTTCATTTGTCTCCAGGGGTATGTCTATACTGCAACATAAGACTGTGATTGAGCCCAGGCTCAAGCCTGAGCTCTTTTGATTGTACCCTGCAATTGCACTAACCCAAGGCTTGGACCCAGGGTCCCAGGACCCTGCAGCGCTGGAGGGCCCAAGCTCAAGTTAAGCTGAGCCCCAAGGCTGAGCCCCATTGCTTTGTAATGTAGATGCAGCCCCGCTTGACTGGGGTCCCAGGAGTCAGCTGAAAGTATCCCACAATTCCATGGGACAAATTCCTTAGTCCTCTCTACCCCAACAACCTCCAATCCACTCTACTGAAAACAGAAGCGTTCCCCGGTTTGCAAATGGGAGCAGCTCAGGTCAGCATTAACCCATTCTCTTCTGACTACTGATCTGGAAGCACGCTATCAGAGACTCTTCAGGGTGTGCAAAGGAGAGCGAACCCATTAAGACTTTGGCAAAGCAAGATCCTGCCCGGTAACATGCAGGGTGGGCGGTAAATTTTCCCAAAGTGCACCACAGTCCTGGAACCAGAGCAGCCACAATTTTTTGGCAGGGGGAGGGGAGACACAAGGGATGTGGGTACTTTGACTGGAGTCTGTGCATGTCCAAAAGCATGCTGAACCAGTGCTGGCGAGTCCACACCAGAGCCACCAGGATGCCCTTCACTTTGACCCTCTGGACCTTCAGTAGGACCTAGTGAACCAGGGGTATCGGTGGGAAGGCGTACAGCAGTGTTCTCATCCAAAGGAGCAGGCAAGTGTCGGACAGGGAGCCTCTACTACTTTCAGAACCCCAGCATGCACTGGGAATGCCACCTTAGATGGTGCCGCAACGGCCAACATATCCAAGAGGCTGTCCAAGGGCTCAGTGAGTTCCTCCGCCTCTAATCCCACCTTCTTCAAAATATGCTGATGGGCCCTAAAGTCATCTGGAGGGAGCGAGTGAGCAGGCCTGACAACTGCCTCGTCCGGGGACAATGAGGATGATGATAACTCTTGGCGGGGTACAGGTGCCCCTTCCTCCACTGGGGAGGCTTTTCCCTGAGTCGAAGCCTGTACCTTGGTACCCGCATCAGAACCTGAATCCGGTTCCTGTACTGAGGTGGGGGTTGGGGGTGGTTCACTTTCCCAACGCGGCTATGGACGATTGCTAGGAGTATGGACCCAGCATCATAGGGAGCCCCCATGGGTTCCAGTATGGCCAGTGTAATGGCCACTGAACTTGCAGCAAGACATCCACTGCAGGGCTGGTACCGCAGTCTGGTGCGTGGGCCAACCCGGTGCCTCTGGGAATGGGAACCAAGGCCCCCTTCCAACTCCAAGGAGGACTCCTCTCTCGGGGACCATCACTGCTGGCTTAGATGCAGAGCCAAAGATTGCTGGGGGGAAGGTGACCGGTGGCGGGAGTCCGAAGAACAGTGCTGCATCGGATACTGGAGTTGAGTTGGCGGTGAAACACATGGAGACAAAGACCGAGGCATCGGAGATGGGGAATGGGGCATTGGAGAGTGACGGTGCAGTGATGTTGAGTGGTGCTTGGAGGAGGGCTGTCGGTACTGGGGAGATCAGGACCAACACTGGGAGGCCAATGATCCACGTCTTATGGCTGGAGACTGAGAGCATTGAGCTGAGGACAGAGACGGCGGATGCAGTGCTGGAGACTGGGGCCGTGAGGTTGTGGAGTGGTGCCGAGACTCTAGTGAACGGCGACACCCAAGCAACTACTGGGGCGGCACATGGGAGGCTTCCCCTTGTGAGGTGGAGCCTTCACTGATTCTGCCCGCGGAGGGAGATCCCGTGCAGTGGGCAGCACCGGTAGGGTCATCACATCTTTGGCCTTTTGGAAGGCACCATAAGGTACATGGGACCCCTGTCGCACCCTGGAGTTGGAGGTGGTTCCCATACTCGGCTAAGAGCCCTGGGTGGGGAGGTTGCACCTGGTAAGGGCAGGTGGCCTGACACAGGTCCTTTGCCTGTCACCCCTTTCCCTTCATTTTTCGAAACCAGAGATCACCTGTGTTCAGCGTGCTGTTTCTTACATGGAGGGCATGTTTCCTACATGGAGCAGCACTGGAGGGAACCGGGTGCCAGTGGGATGCTCTGTACGAAGGCTGAGGTACTCGGCGCAGAGTCCTACAGGTCTAAGAGCCGCTTCCATCAGGAGGGCTTCGAGACAGATGTTTCTGTCCTTTAGAGTGTGTGCTATAAAGCTCTTACAGATTTTGCACTTCTCTTTAGTGTGCGATTCCCCAAGACGCTTCAGACAGCTTGTGTGTGAGTCGCTGACCAACATGTGCTTGTGGTAAATGGCACACGGCTTGAATACCAGGGCATGCCCTGTCCCTGGGTCAAAGTCCCTAAGGGGACTACTGACTATTCTAACCTGACTACTAATCTAACTAACTTTATTAAGTGAACTATATACAATTATATACAAACTATAAAAAGTCAGCTTTTGACTTTGGTCATTTGTCTCAAAGTCCCCAAAAAATCTGAGGTACATTCTGTCAAACAAAAGTAATATCCAATTGTGAGACCAAACTGCCTTCAGGACAGAGAAAAAAACCCACCACACAGAGGGGTAGAAGACATTTTCAGTTTTATATAAAATGAAATTTCAGAGCAGGTTATATCTGATAACTTAAAATCAAAACAGATTCTCCCATTGCGTTCTCCTCTGGTCCATTCAAACTTTCTTCACTCTGTGCCACCTCATTATTATTGAGTCATGTTATGTACAAAAGATTTAGTATCAGAGGGGTAGCCATGTTAGTCTGTATCCACAAAAACAATGAGGATTCCAGTGGCACCTTAAAGATGAACGGATTTATTTGGGCATAAGCTTTCATGGGTAAAAACCCACTTCTTCAGATGCATGAAAATTACAGATACAAGCATAAATATACTGGCACATGAAGAGAAGGGAGTTATCTTACAAGTGGAGAACCAGTGATAACAAGGCCAATTCAATCAGGGTGGATGCGGCCCACTCCCAATAATTGATGAGGAGGTGTCAATACCAAGGGAGGGAAAATTGCTTTTGTAGTGAGCCAGCCACTCCCAGTCCCTATTCAAGCCCAAATTAATGGTGTTAAGTTTGCAAATGCATTGTAGTTCTGCAGTTTCTCTTTGAAGTCTGTTTTTGAAGTGTTTTTGTTGCGGGATGGCTACTTTTAAATCTGTTATTGAATGTCCAGGGAAATTGAAATGTTCTCCTACTGGCTGTTGTATGTTACCATTCCTGATGTCTGATTTGTTTCCATTTATTCTTTTATGTAGAAACTGTCCGGTTTGGCCAATGCACATGGCAGAGGGGCATTGCTGCCACGATGGCATATATCACATTAGTAGATGTGCAGGATGTAGATGTGAATGATCCCCTGATGGTCTGGCTGATGTGGTTGGGTCCTATGATGGTGTCGCTAGAGTAGATATGGGGACAGAGTAGGCAATGGGGTTTGTTACAGGGTTTGGTTCCTGGGTTAATGTTTCTGTGGTGTGGTGTGTAGTTGCTGGCATAGGTACTGACTCCGTGGGTGCTCCAGGGTGGAGCTCCCACGGGGAAAAATTAATGGGTGCTCTGCACTCACCAGTAGCCAAACTCACCACCCCGCCCCACCTCATCTCCTCCGCTTCCTCCCCTGAGCACACTGCATCCCCGCTCTGCTGCCTACCTCCCAGTGCTTGCCACCACCAAATAGCTGTAGCAAGCTCCGGGAGGAGTGGGGAAGAGTGGGAACGTGGTGCACTCAGGGGAGGGGGTGAAGAAGAGGAGGGGCTGGGGCGGGGATTTGGGGAAGGAGTCAGAATAGGGGCAGGGAGAGGATGGAGTTGGGGCGGGGACTTTGCGGAAGGGGTTGTAATGGGGGCGGGAGGGGGTGGGGATGGGAGCAGAGTGGGGTGGAGCACCCACCGGCGCCAGTAGAAGTCGGCGCTTATGGTTGCTGGTGAGTATTTGCTTCAGTTTTGGGAGCTGTCTGTAAGTGAGAACTGGCCTGCCTCCCAAGGTCTGTGAGAGTGGGGGATTGTTTTCTAGGATAGGTTTTAGATCGTTGATGATGTGCTGGAGAGGTTTTAACTGGGGGCTGTACATGATGGGCAGTGGTGTTCTGTTATTTTCCTTGTTGGGCCTGTCCTGTAGTAGGTGACTTCTGGGTAGCCGTCTCACTCTGTCAATCTGTTTCCTCACTTCCCCGGGTGGGTACTGTAGTTTTAAGAATGCTTGATAAAGACCTTGTAGGTGTTTGTCTCTGTCTGAGGGATTGGAGCAAATACGGTTGTATCTTAGGGCTTGGCTGTAGACAATGGATTGTGTGATGTGTCCTGGATGGAAGCTGAAGGCATGTAGGTAGGAATAGCGGTCAGTAGGTTTCCGGTATAGGGTGGTGTTTATGTGACCATCATTTATTTGCACTGTAGTGCCCAGGAAGTGGATCTCTTGTGTGGACTGTTCCAGGCTGAGGTTTATGGAGGGGTGGAAATTGTTACAGTCCAGGTGGAATTCTTCAAGGGCCTCCTTCCTGTGGGTCCATAGGATGAAGATGTCATCAGTGTAGCACAAGTAAAGATTTAGCTTCATCACAAGAGGGGAAAGCAGCCAACCTTCCCCTCTGCAACAATCCCCGCTCAGCAGGAAAAAGGCCAGAAGCAGCTTTGCCAAGAGATGGAAGCAGAGATGAAAGCACAGAATGATTACTGTGTCTTTGGGATCCATTCTAATTCTCCCTCCAGGATTGAAACTTTCACATCTAGCCCCAGTGAGTCTGATTTACGATCAAAGTGTGATACCTAAGCACAGGGAGCATGCAGAACACGGCATCATGTGACACTTTGGGAGGTGCAGGGGTAGAACGTGGGGAGGATAAACGCTATTGTGATTTACACAGAGACTAATGCTGCTGGGGTGAGAGGGGATTGTGACAGTGATGGGGAAGGAGGGAATCCCTTTGACTCACCCCGTCTCCTTCGGGTGTCACAGAGGGTGAAATGACACATTTGCTACCCCTACTCTTTTTCTATTTCAATCTATTTTAATTGAGGAAAATGGTAGAAAAAATACTTCTGACCACCACAACCCTGAGCAAGGTGAGAACAACTGGGATTGAGACAATCTCTCCCCAAGGGGAAACATGGTGACTAACAATCACTTTGTAATGGGGAAATGGTATCAACTAGATCCTTGGGGTTTCTCTAGATTAGGAAAAATGATGCGGGTGAGCACAGGTCCAGGGGAAAGCTAACCCCAGCCACTCTACCCAGGTTATGTCTGCACTACAAATGTAGTTGTGTTGTTACAAGATCATTACACTGAGCAACTACCTCCATGTACAATCCCAGTGGAGACATGGCACAGGTAGCTTTTACCTCAGTGTAGCTAGTCATGGTCAACCCCATCTCCCCCACCTGGCATTGATGGATATTTCTGGCAGGCAGGGGACACAGTCCCAGGTGATATCAGACAAAGGAGTTAATAAAGGATGATGGGATTCACCCCAAAGAGGGGGAAGGGGCAAAAGACAGAGGCAGGCAACTCACATGGAGCTGAGAGACCACATTAAAGAAAATGCTGCAAATTACTTGGGAATTATTTTACAAAAAACTTTGGCCAGCTCTAGTCAAGAGATTTATGGCATTACTTGCCTGTATGGATTCTCTTATGTCTGATAAAAGCTGACCTCCGTCTAAAACTTTTCCTGCATTCAGGGCATGTGAAGGGTCTCTTTACTGTGTGGATTCTCTGATGTGTGATGAGGGTTTTCCTCTCACTAAATCTTTTCCCACACTCAGCGCATGAGTAGGGTCGTTCTCCTGTGTGGATTCTCTGATGCGATATCAGGTGTGAGCTCTGACTAAAACTTTTATGGCACTCAAAGCATGTGTAGGGTCTCTCTCCAGTGTGGATTCTCTGATGTGCTATCAGGTTTGATCTGTGTTTGAAGCTTTTCCCGCACTCAGGGCATGTGAAGGATCTCTCTCCTGTATGGACTCTCTGATGCGTGATGAGGGTTGAGCTCACATTGAAGCTTTTCCCACACTCAGAACACACGTAGGGTCGCTCTCCTGTGTGGATTCTTTGATGTGTAATGAGCTGTAATCTTCCATTGAGGCTTTTCCCACAATCAGAGCATGTGTAGGGTCGCTCTCCAGTGTGGATTCTCTTATGTATGATAAAGGCTGAGCTCCAACGAAAGCTTTTCCCACACTCAGAGCACGTGTAGGGTCTCTCTCCAGTGTGGACTCTCCGATGTCTGATAAGATGTGAGCTCACATTGAAGCTTTTCCCACACTCAGAACACGAGTAGGGTCGCTCTCCTGTGTGGATTCTCTCATGTATGATAAGGCTTGAGCGCTGACTGAAGCTTTTCCCGCACTCAGAGCATGTGTAGGGTCTCTCTCCCGTGTTGATTTTTTTATGGCTAATAAGGTCTGAGCAGCTACGGAAGCTTTTCTCGGGCCCACGCTGACTCTCACAGGTTTCTGCCTCTGCACGACTCAAAGAAACTTTCCCTTTGGATCTTCCTGCTAACTTCCCATGTGGCTCTACTTGCTCAGCATCTTCCTTCTTGTGAGTCGTCTTCTTGTTCTCACTCACCATCCCATCACCTGGAAGGACAGAGAGAGAATCCAGACATAGGTCACTCCCTGTGCTGGGGAGAAAGGAAACCTCAGAGAGTGGAATGGAAAGAAGTGAGAACAAACCAAAGTCAGTGTGTGAGAGAGCAAACAAAATAGGATTTGATTTCCACCCTTTATCCCTGCCCTCCCAAATCCCTTCCCCAGAGGACAGAGAGGTGGGCAGTAAATTTTCCCACAGTGCACAACAGTCCTAGAACCAGAGTAGCCATATTTTTTATATTTTGGGGGATAGGGGAGCACTAGAGATTCTGGGTGTGGTTATTTTGACTCGGGTCTCAGCATTGTTGTGTGGACGCCAGAGTCCTAGGTTCCAGCACAGGTTAGAAAAGTCTTAACACAGGCTTAGAATACAATACAGACACTCAAGACCAGGGTTTCTTCACATGGGTCTTCTGACTCAATTCCCACTAAACCTGAGATTATATTGCAGTGTAGACATACTCAATGTCTTCTGCTGTAAGTGTTGGAGGAAGGGGTTCTCACACTTCATCAAAAGATTTGCATCATGAGAAAACCACCTGTATTCTATTTTCTCATTTTCTAATCTGCCAGAGTAGCAGGAGGTGGAAAAGTGATGCAAATGCATAAGACACAAGAGCAAGCTAAAAGACAAAAGCATAGAATCAGGACTCAACATTCCTGTATCCTGCAGTTTGAACCTGGAGCCTGACACATTCATTCCTTCACTGACCATCATCACGTGCGCAGCATGGAAGTGCTCCTTGTCCAAAGAGGCCATCAGATTGGGATCCACGGGGAAGTAATGTCCTCTGAAGGCTTCAACTATTTCTCTCTTTGCTTCATGAAACTTTGGACCCAAATGGCAAAGGACAATTGCTCCCAATTTAACCATGGTATTCTTTGGCACCAGAATGAATTCCCCTGAACTAAGGAGCAGTGTTCTAAAAATAAATAGATTATCTGGGCCATAGGTCATCATAGTTTCCATCTCTGAGGTGAAAATCAACCACTGGATACCTGCTATTTCTACCTGAGTTCTTGTCTAATCCTTGGCCTTGGTCGGGGTAACTTGACACTTCTCTGTAGTAGGATCCTTACCAACTCGCACCAAATGTCAATAGTGATAGTGAGGAATAGCTTCCCCCAAAATGCCCAGTTTGTTTATGAGATCTGGTGGCATAGTTCTAAGATAGGGACTAGATCCAGGCCTTGACCAGAATCCCTGTAACCCACCATAGGTGGGGTATTTTTTAAAAACGGGTATAATTCTGAAGCTGTCTCACATTCAACAATGACTTCATTGTATATATATTTGTAGCAGGTAGAAGGGGCAAGCTCCTCAAAAATGTCACTTCCATTTTCTCCATCTCTACAGAGATAAGTATTGTGTTTCCCAAATAACAGGCAGTGTGTACCTGATTCGGAAGGAAATGTCTTCAGCGGTAACCTCCTGTAGGGCCTGGACAACAATTGCTTTGGGATCCAAATATATTGGCCTTTTGCCAAGTTCCAAGTCACTAACTGGGGAATACACCTCCCAGATCATCTGAAACTATACTGCCATATGGCCAAGTGAGAAACAAGTGTGTTGACCAGACTAAATTAAAACCCCAAATGCTTCATAACACTAGCTGACAGAACTGGACCAGAGGGATTTGCAATCCAACTACTGAGCAAATTGAGTCAGTATACTCTTCAGCTAAACTAAACACAAGTGGAAAAATACTGGTTGTGAAATCACGGTGGTGCTGTTGCAATGACAGCTACCATGTAAGAATGGAATTTTACTGAAACCTGAGTTCTACCATGGAACTATTATTCTGGAATGTAACTTGCTTATCTAAGTTCCCACAATCAGAACTATTATTCAGGGATGTAAATTGTTTTACTACAAACTACTAGTTTGTCTGGATAAGATATACTGGGATATCAGTTCTTATAAGTGAAAGGTTAAAAGTGTGATAACTGATAAAAATATAAATGTATTATTGTAGCAAGTGTAAGTGAAATAGTGGTATTTATAATCAAAATAAGAAAAAGTCAACAGTGCTGTCATAAATATAAAGGGAAGGGTAAACCCCTTTGAAATCCCTCCTGGCCAGGGGAAAGCTCCTCTCACCTGTAAAGGGTTAAGAAGCTAAAGGTAACCTCGCTGGCACCTGACCAAAATGACCAATGAGGAGACAAGATACTTTCAAAAGCTGGGAGGAGGGAGAGAAACAAAGGGTCTGTGTGTCTGTCTATAGTCTGTCTTTGTCGGGGATAGACCAGGAATGGAGTCTTAGAACTTTTAGTAAGTAATCTAGCTAGGTACGTGTTAGATTATGATTTCTTTAAATGGCTGAGAAAAGAACTGTGCTGAATAGAATAACTATTTCTGTCTGTGTATCTTTTTTGTAACTTAAGGTTTTGCCTAGAGGGGTTCTCTATGTTTTGAATCTAATTACCCTGTAAGGTATCTACCATCCTGATTTTACAGGGGGGATTTCTTTATTTCTATTTACTTCTATTTTTATTAAAAGTCTTCTTGTAAGAAAACTGAATGCTTTTTCATTGTTCTCAGATCCAAGGGTTTGGGTCTGTGGTCACCTATGCAAATTGGTGAGGCTTTTTATCCAACATTTCCCAGGAAAAGGGGGGTGCAAGTGTTGGGAGGATTGTTCATTGTTCTTAAGATCCAAGGGTCTGGGTCTGTAGTCTCCTAGGCAAATTGGTGAGGCTTTTTACCAAACCTTGTCCAGGAAGTGGGGTGCAAGGTTTTGCGAAGTATTTTGGGGCAAAAGACGTGTCCAAACAGCTCTTCCCCAGTAACCAGTATTAGTTTGGTGGTGGTAGCGGCCAATCCAAGGACAAAGGGTGGAATATTTTGTACCTTGGGGAAGTTTTGACCTAAGCTGGTAAAGATAAACTTAGGAGGTTTTTCATGCAGGTCCCCACATCTGTACCCTAGAGTTCAGAGTGGGGGAGGAACCTTGACAAGTGCATATATAAAGTATATTATATTTGAAGTCCTGTGTATTCATGTTAACTTCTCTGAAACTGTATGGTAGGTAGATGCTGCGACCTTTGTAAGAACATCTGCTTTGTATCTGAGCTGCAGAATGTAAGCTTAGCAAAAATTAAGATACAAGAAGCTTGTAGAATACACTTAAATACAACAGCTTCTAGGTGTTGTGCTATATCTGGCTACTACAATATATATGAAATTAGGTGAGAGAAAGTCTGTAAATTCTATAGGTTAGCCTATATTAATAGTATATACAGTATGAAAATTATATATAATATCACATATGTTTCCTGAACTGTCCTCATGTTAACATCTTCCAAAATGCTTTTTCACTTACATTAAACAAAGAGCTGAAATATTCTAATTAAGGGCTAGGCACAAACATAGCATAGATAACCTAGGCCTGTAATGTTCAAAACAAAATTCTAGTCTTGTATATACGCCTCACTGTTTTTCTTCAATGAGTGGGGTCTGCATAACTGTCAAAATGAGAAGTATACGCTATGTTGAAACCTACAACATATCCACCACACAGAAGGCGTAGCAATTACTGTCTATGAAAAACATATCACAGAAAATAGAGAAGAAAAATATATTAGATAAAATAATATGGGGAAAATTGGAAACTCCCTCTCCCCATTAGGTATAAATATAGGAGGGATAAGCACAAAATCTCTGAGGCGGTGGACTGCTGCAACTCCTGTCTTCCACACTGATTTGTAACATATCTACTCTTCCTTTCTCTATTATGCTGTATTAATCTTTGTAATAATCATTTACTTATCACCTGATTAAGCCGAGTTATTGGACAACTCTTGCTTTTAATTTATATTGCATGCAAAACAAGTGTGATCATGTCCAATTACTTCAGTTAGTTAGAATCATAGAATCATAGAATATCAGGGTTGGAAGGGACCTCAGGAGATCATCTAGTCCAACCCCCTGCTCAAAGCAGGACCGATCCCTGACTAAATCATCCCAGCCAGGGCTTTGTCAAGCCTGACCTTAAAAACTTCTAGGGAAGGAGATTCCACCACCTCCCTAGGTAACGCATTCCAGTGTTTCACCACCCTCCTAGTGAAAAAGTTTTTCCTAATATCCAACCTAAATCTCCCCCACTGCAACTCCTTGTTCTGTCATCTGCTACCACTGAGAACAGTCTAAAGCCATCCTCTTTGGAACCCCCTTTCAGGTAGTTGAAAGCAGCTATCAAATCCCCCCTCATTCTTCTCTTCTGAAGACTAAACATCCCCAGTTCCCTCAGCCTCTCCTCATAAGTCATGTGTTCCAGTCCCCTAACCATGTTTGTTGCCCTCCGCTGGACTCTTTCCAATTTTTCCACATCCTTCTTGTAGTGTGGGGCCCAAAACTGGACACAGTACTCCAGATGAGACCTCACAAATGTTGAATAGAGGGGAATGATCACGTCCCTCGATCTGCTGGCAATGCCCCTACTTATATATCCCAAAATGCCATTGGCCTTCTTGGCAACAAGGGCACACTGTTGACTCATATCCAACTTCTCGTCCACTGTAACCCCTAGGTCCTTTTCTGCAGTTCCACAATTTTGGTATGCCGTTGTTCACTGTTACAGAGCAAAAATTTTAAATGGTTCTGTTTCCTTGGGAGCATGTCCAATAGCTTGGAGTATTCTTTCCAGATGGCTGAACTGCACTCAAACTTCCTCAAAGGAGGGGTGGGGAAAAGTCACATATAAAATAAGATATTACCGTTTTAGCAAACGGTCATTTGTCTCAAAGTCCCCAATAAATCTGAGGTACATTCTGTCAAACAAAAGTAATATCCAATTATGAGACCAAACTACCTTCAGGACAGAGAGAAAAACCCAAAACACAGAGGGGTTGAAGACACTTCCAGTTTCACATACAATGAAATTCCAGAGCAGCATATATCTGATAACTCAAAATCAGAACAGATTCTCCCGGAAATTCCGTTCTTTGCTGATCCATTCAAACCCTCTGATCCATTCAAACTTTCTTCACTCTGTGCCACCTCATTATTATTGAGTCATGTTACTTACAAAAGATTTAGCTTCATCACAAGGGGGAAAAGCAGCCAACCTTCCCCTCTGCAACAATCCCCGCTCAGCAGGAAAAAGGCCAGAAGCAGCTTTGCCAAGAGATGGAAGCAGAGATGAAAGCACAGAATGATTACTCTGTGTTTGGGATTCATTCAAATCCCCCCTTCAGGTCTGTGACTCTTTCATCTTTAGCCCCAGTGAGTCTGATTTAGGATCAAAGTGTGACATCTCAGCACAGAGAAAGCTCAGAACATGGCATCACGTGACATATTTGGAGGTCCAGGGATAGAACATGGGGAGGATAAAGGCTATCGTGGCTTACTCGAAGCTAATGCTGCTGGGGCAAGGGGGGATTGTGATAGTGACGGGAAAGGAGGGAATCCCTTTGATTCACCCCATCAGGTGTGACAGAGGCTGAAATGACACATTTTCCCTACCTTCCTCCTGCTCTTTATTCTATTTCAATCTATTTTAAAAGAGGAAAATGAGGGGGGAGGGATTATTCTGTCCAGCACAACCCTGAGCAAGGCGAGAACAACTGGGATTCAGACAATCTGTCCCCTAGGGGGAACTCAATGACTAACAATCACTTTGAAATGGTTAGGGTTTGTCTAGACTAGGAAAAATGATGGAGGTGAGCTCAGGTCAAGGGGAAAGCTAACTCCTTGTCCACAATGTAGTTGTGTTGTTACAAGAAGATCACTAAGACAAGCAGCTACCTCCATGTACAATCCCAGTGGAGACAAGGCCGTTTTTACATCAGTGTAGCTAGTCAAGGTCAATCCATCTCCCCCACCTGATGCTGATGGATATTTCTGGCAGGAGAAGGACACACTCCCAAGAGATATAAGAGAAAGAAGTTGATAAAGGATGAGGGGAATCACCCCAAAGAAGGGGAAGGGGCAAAAGACAAAGGCAGGCAACTCACATGGAGCTGAGAGACCACACTGAAGAAAATGGTGCAAACTAGGTGGGAATTCGCTAATGTATTTTACAAAAAATATTTGGCCAGCCCTAGTCAAGACATTTATGGCATTACTCGCCTGCATGGATTCTCTTATGTCGGATAAAACTTGAGCTCCAACGAAAGCTTTTCCTGCACTCAAGGCATCTGTAGGGTCTCTCTCCAGTGTGGACTCTCTGATGTCTGATGAGGTATGCACTGACTTTGAAGCTTTTCCCACACTCAGGGCATCTGTAGGAGCCCTCTCCTGTGTGGATTCTCTGATGTGTGATAAGGTGTGAACGCTTGATGAAGCTTTTCCCACACGCGGAGCACTTGTAAGATGTCTCTCCTGTGTGGACTCTCCGATGTCTGATGAAGTATGAGCTGTCTTTGTAACTTTTCCCGCAGTCAGGGCATGTCAAGGATCCCCCTCCTGTGTGGATTTGCTGATGTCTGATGAGATGTGAAGTCACATTGAAGCTTTTCCCGCAGTCAGAACACTTGTAGGGTCGCTCACCTGTGTGGATTCTCTGATGCCTGATAAGATGTGAGCTCTCACTGAAGCTTTTCCCGCACTCAAAACACGTGTAGGGTCGCTCTCCTGTGTGGATTCTCTCATGTGTGATCAGGTTTGAGCTTCGATTGAAGCTTTTCCCACACTCAGAGCATGTGTAAGGTCGCTCTCCTGTGTGGATTCTCTGATGTGTAATAAGGTCTGAGCGCCGAGTGAAGGGTTTTCTGCACTCAGAGCACGAGTAGGGTCTCTCTCCCGTGTTGATTCTTTCATGTGTAATAAGGTCTGAGCCACTACTGAAGGTTTTCTCTGGCCTTTGCTGACTCTCACAGGCGTTAGCCTCTGCACAACTCCAAGAAATTTTCCCTTTGGATCTTCCTGCTAATGTCCCATGTGGTTCAACTTGCTCAGCATCGTCCTGGTGGGGAGTCGTCTTCTTGTTCTCACTCAGCATCCGATCGCCTGGAAGGACAGAGAGAGAATCCACACATAGGTCACTCCCTGTGCTGCGGATAAAGAAAACCTCAGGGAAAGGAATGGAAAAAGGTGGGAACTACCCAAAATAAGTGCTCGAGAGATAAAAGAAACCAGGATTTGACTTCCACCTTTTACTGCCCATCCTCAAATCTCTTCCCCAGAAGACAGAGACGTGGGCAGTACATTTTCCCATGGTTCACCACAGTTTTAGAGCTAGAGGCCACATTTTGGCAGGGGAAACTAGGGACTCTGGAATGTGGTTACTTTGACTCAGGTCAGGGCACTGCTGTGTGGACGCCAGAGCCCTAGGTTCCAGTACAGGTTAAAAAAGTCTTAACATAGGGTTAAAATACCATGTAAACACTCAGGCCAATGGTTTCTTCAAGATCGCTAAGCTGAGCAGCTAACTCCATGTACAATCCCAGTGCAGACAAGGCACAGGTACTTTTTACCTCACTGTAGGGTCAATCCCATTTCCCCAACGTGGCACTGATAGTATTTCTGGCAGGAGGACACAATCTCCAGACAAAGCGTTGTGAAAGAAGGGTGAGGTACAAAAGACAGAGGCAGGCAACTCCTGTGGACCTAACAGACCACACTGAAAAAAATGGTGCAAATTACTTGGGAATTAGCTAAGGTCTTATTTTTAAAAATCTTTGGCCAGCCCTAGTCAAGACAATTATGGCATTACTTGCCTGTGTGGGTTCTCTTGTGTCTCATAAAAGTTGAGTCCTGTCTAAAACTTTTCCCACACTCAGGGCACATGAAGGATCTCTCTCCTGTGTGGATTCTCTGATGTGTGATAAGGTGTGAGCGCCGATTGAAGCTTTTCTCACACTCAGAACATGTGTATGGTTGTTCTCCTGTGTGAACTCTCCGATGTCTGCTGAGGTTTGAGCTGTGGTTGAAACTTTTCTCACAATAAGAGCATGTGTAGGGTCTCTCTCCCGTGTTGATTCTATCATGTCTAATAAGGTCCGAGAAGCTACTGAAGCTTTTCTCTGGCCTATGCTGACTCTTACAGGCTTTTGCCTCTCCACAGCTCCCAGAAACTTTCTCTCTGGACATTCCTTCTAATGTCCCACGTGGTTCCAGTTTCTCAGCATCCTCCTGCTGTGGATTCTGCTCCTCGTTCTCACTCACCATCTGATCACCTGGAAGGAGAGAGAGAGAATCTAGGCATGGGTCACTCCCTGTGCTGGGGAGAAAGGAAACCCCAGAGACAAATGGGAAAAGGTGGGCCCAAACCAACATAAGTGCCGGAGACATCGAACAAAACAGGATTTGATTTGCACCCCTGCTCCAACCTTCCCTGCCGAAAGCCCTTCACCTGAGAACAGAGAGACGGGGTCATTTCTGGGTCCACATCCCATTCAGGGGGAAGGAAGATTGGGGAGGGGGCTACACCCAAGTGTCAGTCAGGAAAGGTGGGAAGCCAGGAGTGACATCTGCCATGAGGATGCCACACCTGCTAGAAACAATTCTGTATTTGGAGAGCTCACAAGATCTTTGTAGGGAATCCCAAACGCTTCCTTCATTCATGTAAAGTTTCTGAGTTGTTTAGCTGACTCCTCACCAGTCTGGGCACCTTTCTGGAGCTCTCTTTCCTCAGAGCCCTGGAGATCTGGGACCCACGGCTCTTCCCCATTTTCCAGCCGGGAGATCACATCAGGTTTGGAAACTGGAAACCCTACGTAAGAGAACAAAAACAAGAGAGATCAGCAGAATTTCTGGGATATTTGTCACAAAGAACTTTCCAAGATTTTACCCTCAGCTCATTTTTGAGCATCCTGAAGCCATCTTCCTGGGCTCCAAACAGCAGGACAGTTATTATTATTAGAATCAGAGAATCATAGACTATTAGGGTTGGAAGAGACCTCAGGAGGTCATTTAGTCCAATTCCCTGCTCAAAGCAGGACCAACACCAACTAAATCATCCCAGCCAGGGCTTTGTCAAGATGGCCCTTAAAAACCTCTAAGGATGGAGATTTCACCACCTCCCTAGGTAACCCATTCCAGTGTTTCACCACCCTCCTAGTGAAAACGTTTTTCCTAATATCTAATCTAAACCTCCCCCACTGCAACTTGAGACCATTACTCCTTGTTCTGTCATCAGCTCCTACTGAGAACAGTCTAGATCCATCCTCTTTGGAACCCCCCTTCAGGTAATTGAAGGCTGCTATCAACCCCCACTCACTCTTCTCTTCTGCAGACTAAATAAGCACAGTTCCCTCAGCCTCTCGTCGTAAGTCATGTGCCCAGCCCCCTAATCATTTTCGTTGCCCTCTGCTGGACTCCCTCCAGTTTGTCCACATCCCTTCTGTATTGGGGGGACCAAAACTGGACGCAATACTCCAGGTGTGGCCTCATCAGTGCCGAACAGAGGGGAATAATCACTTCCCTAGATTTGCTGGCAATGCTCTTACTAATACAGCCCAATATGCCATTGGCCTTCTTGGCAACAAGGGCACACTGCTGACTCATATTCAGCTTCTCATCCACTGTAGTCCCCAGGTCCTTTTCTGCAGAACTGCTGCTTAGCCACTCGGTCTGCAGCCTTTAGCGGTGCATGGGATTCTTCCTTCCTAAGTGAAGAACTCTGCACTTGTCCTTGCTGAACTTCATCAGATTTCTTTTGGCCCAATCCTCCAATTTGTCTAGGTCACTTTGGACCCTATCCCTACCCTCCAGTGTATTTACCTCTCCCCCCAGTTTAGTGTCATCTGCGAACTTGAGGAGGGTGCAATTAATCCCATCAACCAGATCATTAATAAAGATGTTGAACAAAAGCGGCCCTAGGACCGACTCCTGGGGCACTACGCTTGATACCGGCTGCCAACTAGACATCATGCCATTCATCACTACTCATTGAGCCCGACAATCTAGCCAGCTTTCTATCCACCTTATGGTCCATTCATCCAATCCATACTTTTTTAACTTGCTGTCAAGAAGACTGTGGGAGACCGTGTCAAAACTTTGCTAAAGTCAAGATATATCACATCCACTGCTCTCCCCATATCCACAGTGCCAGTTATCTCATCATAGAAGGCAATCAGGTTGGTCAGCAATGACTCGCCCTTGGTGAATTTATGCTGACTGTTCCTGATCACCTTCCTCTCCTCCAAGTGCTTCAAAATGGATTCCTTGAGGACCTGCTCCATGATTTTGCTGGGGACTGAAGTGAGGCTGACTGGTCTGTAGTTCTCTTTTTTCCCTTTTTTAAATATGGGCACTATATTTGCCTTTTTCCGATCGTCTGGGACCTCCCCCGATTGCCACAAATTTTCAAAGATAATAGCCAATGGCTCTGCAATCACATCCGCCAACTCCCTCAGCACCCTGGATGCATTAGATCTGGACCCATGGACTTCTGCACGTCCAGCTTTTCTAAATAGTCCTTAATCTGTTCTTTCACCACTGAGGACTGCTCACCTCCTCCCCATGCTGTGCTGCCCTGTGCAGCAGTCTGGGAGCTGACCTTGTCTGTGAAGGCCAAGGCAAAAAAAGCCTTGACTACTTCAGCTTTTTCCACATCATCTGTCACTATGTTGCCTCCCCCATTCAGTAAGGATCCCACACTTTCCCTGACCGCCTTCTTTTTGCTAACATACCTGTAGAAACCCTTCTTGTTACCCTTCACATCCCTTGCTAGCTGCAACTCCAATTGTGCCTTGGCCTTCCTGATTACACCCCTGCATGCTCTAGCAATATTTTTATACTACTATCTGTCCAAATTTCCACTTCTTGTAAGCTTCCTTTTTGAGTTTAAGCTCACCAAAGATTTCACTGTTAAAAGCTGATCGCCAGCCATATTTTCTATTCTTTCTGCACTTAGGGATAGTTTGTTCCTGCACCCTCAATAAGGCTTCTTTAAAATACAGCCAGCTCTCCTGGACTCCTTTCCCCCTCATATTAGCCTCCCAGGGGATCCTGCCCATCAGTTCCCTCAGGGAGTCTAAGTCTGCTTTTCTGAAGTCCAGGGTCCGTATTTTGCTACTCTCCTTTCTTTCTTTTCTCAGGATCCTGAACTCAACCATCTCATGGTCACTGCTGCCTAGGTTGCCACCCACTTCTACTTCCCCTACCAATTCTTCCCTGTTTGTGAGCAGCAGGTCAAGAGGAGCAGAGCACATGTACCAGGGAGTTGTCCCCAACACTCTCCAAAAACTTCCTGGATTGTCTGCGCATTGCTGTATTGCTCTCCCAGCAGATGTCAGGGTGATTGAAGTCCCCAATTAGAACCAAGGCCTGTTATCTGGAGACTTCAATTAGTTCTGCGAAGAAAGCTTCGTCTACTTCATCCTTTTGATCTGGTGCTCTATAGCAAACACCCACCATGACATCATCCCTGTTGCTCTCACCTCTAAACTTAACCCATGTTTATTACAGTAGTGCCTAAGGGCCAATAAAAAATGGGGCCCCATTGTTCTCAGTATTGTATAAACACAGAGTAGTAGATTGTCCATGCCTGAGGAACTTACAGTCCAAATGGATAAGACACACACCAGGTGGGGGACGGGTTAGAATACATGAGCAGAGTGAACGATGTAATGGCAAACAGACAAGATAAACACAGGCATAACTTGACACCGGGGTTAAAGGACACTACGGGGTACAGGTAGCCCTGCCCCCAGGCCTGCGGAGCATGCTTCAGCTCGAGGAGCAGGTTAGAAAGCTTCGTCTACTTCATCCTTTTGATCTGGTGCTCTATAGCAAACACCCACCATGACATCATCCCTGTTGCTCTCACCTCTAAACTTAACCCATGTTTATTACAGTAGTGCCTAAGGGCCAATAAAAAATGGGGCCCCATTGTTCTCAGTATTGTATAAACACAGAGTAGTAGATTGTCCATGCCTGAGGAACTTACAGTCCAAATGGATAAGACACACACCAGGTGGGGGACGGGTTAGAATACATGAGCAGAGTGAACGATGTAATGGCAAACAGACAAGATAAACACAGGCATAACTTGACACCGGGGTTAAAGGACACTACGGGGTACAGGTAGCCCTGCCCCCAGGCCTGCGGAGCATGCTTCAGCTCGAGGAGCAGGTTAGAAGATGCTTATAAGCCCAGGGAAATGGGGGAGAGGGAACAGGCTAAGGGAAAACAGGTCCTTCTCCTGAAAAGCCACTTGGAAGGTTGGACCCGGGATGGACCAGCAACAGTGGTGTGGCCCCCAGGCCGTGACTTCTCCAAACCCCGCCCCCCCTTTTCTCACAACCAACAGACCCCACAGGGCTGTGCTCTTTTGAACTCAGGGGGAGCTTGAGTGGGAGATGAGACACCGACCAGAGACCTTGGCAGAGGCCGTTGCCATGGTGGAGAACTATGTGATGTCCTTTGGGTCCAAAGCTGAAGCACCAAAAGCCAGTCTAGTGTACATCCAGGGCCGCAAGTATCACTGAGCCCAAAACTCACTGAGGCTCTCCAGGGGTACTTGGACGGATACTAGTAGACAAGGATGCAAAGACCAACAGAGGAGCCTGGAAGCCCACCCTCAGCTAGCCAGGAGACATTTGCATCAAGCAGAACAGCCTTATTTGAAGGGGCCACCCCACTCAGGAGAATTAACGGCAAAACCTGGGGGCTGCTTGCATGTGAGCAGCCAGGCCATTTAAGATGGGACTGCCCATTCAGGGACTATAATTATGGGCCGGCCTGGAGAGCGGATAAGTGGTCTCAGAAAAGGGCCCCAGGGAAATGGAGTAAAAGTACAAGACAGACTCTGGCTGCAGCCAGACTTTAGTCAGTGAGCGACTGGTGGAGTCGGAAGGAGAATCTAGAGGCATGATCTGCTGCCAGTGTATCCATGGGACATACAACCCTGTTTGATGAGACCAACTCACTGTGCAAGACCACACTGAGACAGTGCAGGCCAGAGTGACCAAAGACCTGGCCCATCTGGTCATACTTTGGCATGAATGGAAGTTTTTCAAGGACGATGTCCAGGGAAGGCATGGAGCATCTGCAGAGGGGCTAAAGCCCGGACTGGAAGAACCATGGTGGCTACGAGGAGGTGCCACGAGGCGATGGCTCCATTGGAAGCCAAAGATCTAGGAGAGAGAAAGCATGCTGACGGATAAATGACTTTTCACCTGAACTTAACTGGAGGAGTGAGGGCCTGCTACCATCTCTCAACCTGGACCTGCTGTCTAGCAAATAAACATTGTGGAAGAGCAAAGGAGGGACCCAACCCTGAGTCAGGTTTACGAAGTCTCACCCATGTAAATGACAAAGTGTTAGACTCACAGCAGATGAAATAGTGGCCCTATTTCTAATAGGGGAGGTCAGAATGCAGCTTTGGTACCCTGGAATTTCCAAAGGGGAGGTGCTTCAATTGGCCTATGCAGTGCTGTGCCGGGGCACTTGGGGACAGAGAAGACACTCAACAGAGTGACCATGGAGTTCTACTGGCCAGGCATCCACCCCAGAGGTACAGGACTATTGTGCCTCCTGCCCCAGGTGCCAGTGGGTGAGCCAGAAAAAGATCTTAAAGGCCTCCCCGGTACTACTCCCCAGTGCAGGGGTCCCTCTGACTGGCAGGGGCTGGGATTGGGGGACAGGGGAAGGATCAATGGATGATTGCTCTGTTGTGTCCATTACCAGTGGGAGCCGCGATCGGCCGAACCTGCGGACGCGGCAGGTAAACAAACTGGCCCGGCCCACCAGAGGCTTTCCCTGCAC